GACTTCCTACCTTGTAATGCCAGCATTTTCTGTCTTTCTGTAAAAGCACCAGGCAGAATCGTCCCCGTCTCCAGTGCCATCCGAGGACAGTGGAAGTGCTGCAGGAGATGAAAGACGCAAGTCTTCTGAACCAGTTAGTCAACCTTTTTGGTACTGACATCTGTTTCATGTACGACTTCCTACCTTGTAATACCAGCATTTTCTGTCTTTCTGTAAAAGCACCAGCCAGAATGGTCCCCATATCCAGTGCCATCCGAGGACAGTGGAAGTGCTGCAGGAGATCAAAGACGCGAGATTCCAGACCAAGTTATTTATCACTGTTTGTGATTTTTTTAAAACAGTTCAGGGTATGTGAGGCCACTAGGCACATAATTGAAAGGTTCTGACCCAAATAACTTTGATATTCAGAACTTTGTTTTTCACAGTGTCCTTGAGAAAGACAAGAGTCCACTTGAGGGTTATAATCATTATGTTTTCACATAATAATATAGGTGCAGTCTGTGATTTCTCAAAAACGTTGTTGAACACTATTAATATTTGAAATCAACCCAAACAAACACATCCTCCCTTCATTGCTCCACCTTCAAAAGACATGAACATGTGAAGCAGTTGTGGATGTAACTTTGTCACAGCTGAAGTGAAGCAATATAATGCTTTGGAAAAAATAAAGCAAACAAGGCAAACATTGCTCCAAGTCCCAATGTCTTGAAAAACATTTCATGGGAAGCCCATAAGTCAAGCCGCCAACACAATAATGAAATAATCAGCCTTCAAATAATGCTGCAAAAGAGAACACACAGTCCTGATGAGGTACTCCAGAAAGTGATGCTGCACCCAAAAGGGGTCCTCCTTTGGTCACAAAGGAGTATACAAATATATCAGGAACGATGCCAGGAGGACATAATTTATCTAGATGCGACTGGAAGCATAATGCGGAAAGAGACGGGGTCACCTCCGTTCTATGTGTATGAGTTGGTGGTTAGAAATCCACACAAAACCTCATCTCCATTACCTGTTGCCACGTACCTTACTTGCGACCACACCACAGCCTCAGTTATATATTTTCTTGAGGCATTTCTAACAGACGTAGCTAGGTGGTTTGGAAGGAAGGGTATGCGGTCACCTGTCATGGTCATTTGTGTTAATGCAGGCTATATGCCTGGCATTTGCCAAAAAAAACCTGACTGACACAATAAACCACTATTACAACATCACAAGTGGAAAAGGGAAACAGGAAGATTTTGATGTGCCGATTCTGCATAGATGCCTCAGCCATGTGATGAAGAACGCAAAGGAAATGTGCAGAAAGTAGTAAGCAGAACCTATTATTACTGCAAAATCCTTGTAGTATACATAAAAAAAGTATTGTTTATGACATTTGTCTTTTACTGACAGTTGCTAAGTTCCGAACTTCATAACGATTTTATGTGATGAATTAAGTTTTATTAATGTGCAAAAACAAGACAGCAACATCTCTTTTACTCACACCAAAAAATAATAACAGAGATGTCTATTAAGCACATCAGTCTACTGCTTTTAGATAAGTGTAAACTGTAATTTTCAAAACACAAACATTTTAAATGACTGAACATGATTAACATGATTAACATTGTGCCATCAGGATTCCACTCCATCAGTTCTGCCTGAGAAATGTATAGAATGATGATGATGCATTAAGTACATTTCTAATATAGCAGCAAGTCTTAAATGCAGAGCATAATGGGTTTTTAGTACACACAAGTTAAGTAATATCCATTAATGCTGTCATGTTAGTCTTAAAAAATTAACTGGCAGTACCTAATTTCAAATTTGAATTCAATTATGATATTACTTTCCACAGTGCAACAAACCACTACCACCTGGCAATGCATGTCTTTGGTGCCCTCACAACTGCAAGCACTTTAAAAGAACTGGATGACATGGTTCAAAGTGCTACAGTTGTCTTCTCCAGTCCATCATGTGGTGCAAGTGTTGAGAAGCACTTCAAGAACCTGCAATCGTGGCTGCAGAAAAAAGGGACTCCGTTGGATGAGACTACCGAGTCCAGAGGTGATGCAGAGGACTTGAAGGTAAATGTCAGATCTATCATCTGACCATTCTGATCTATCTATCCATCTATCTATCTATCTATCTGATACTGAAGTGCATTCCTTCCCAAGGTCAAAAAGGTCAAAGTGAGAACTTTTTTATTTATTTTTGGTTATTCTACTAAGGAGGACATACTGGTAACCACAAAGACCGTTGTCTTCTCTTGAAATGTGGCATAAGTCCTACAATTTACAGTTATTATCAGTTGGTTTGGAGAATTTCTCAAATAATTCTTAATATTGCAAACCAGTAAGTGCATATCTCAAAACAATTTGTACAAACAGCATTACACAATGGAGTACTTGCAAAAGTCTGTACTTTGCTAAAAATCCATAGTTAATCTCTCAAAAGTAAGTATTTGTGTCAAGAAACAGATCATTGACATGATAATGACAAATCATTTTGTCATTGTTCACAAACAAGACAGTCAAAATGTTTAAGTCATGTTGTCAGTCTGTCAGTGCATGGTTTCAGTATGTCCAGATGTAAACTATGGTTTGGGTTACATTGAAAATGCACAAGGCTGAATTTCTTATGTATGGAATATATAAATGTCAACAGCACAAATTTACACATTACTGTATGTGGGATATTGATTTCAAGAGAATGGACAGGATTCACACTTTTACTGTACTGTACTTGTCCAAAAAATTACATTACAATGTCATTGTGATAGAAAATTAAAAGACACAAAAGCCAGTGGAGAAAAATATAAAATTACTGAGGTAAACATAGAAAAAAATCCTTGTGCATGCAGAACTGTGCATGCAGCATCATATAGTGCAATATAAACTCCAATATTTGGCTGTACCCTCTGTCTTGCCTCGGCTACTGTGAGGCTCTAATTTCATCTGAAATGTGTCTATGTCTCTGGCATCTTCTTCCTCTTCCTCTATTTTGCCTCCCTACCCTTCCATCACGCATTATTATTATTATTCCTGGCTCTTGACCATGTTTGTTTACTGGTTGTTCATCCATTTTTTTAAATTTTAATTTTAATTGAGAACCAGTATAATATTTTTGGATCAGCATTACAAAAACAATTGATAATGTAGGAAACAGCAGACAGTTGTGCACAGTCAATTAAATGGTTGTACAAAAGTATTCACAATTTGTTCAAAGCAGTGAGAGATTGCTTTTATGATATGCACAAGATACTACATGATGTGGAGGTTGAACAAGTAGTTTTGAAAATTTCATTTCTGATCTGAGAAATGCTCCAAAGCAACTGAGAAAAACTGTAAAACACACCTCTAATAACACATTGTTGCATTATTTTTAGGACATTACAGGAAGCAACAGATTTGCAAAACGTTGCAATGCAATTATTTCAAATGCCCTGCTGGACAAGCATGGAGAGCTCAATGTGTACCAATGCAAAGGGCTTATCGATCACCTCAAGAAATACATTCTACCATTTGCTGGATTATGGACCGGGATAATGCTAGGTTTGTCATAACTATGCCAAATTTCCCTTTTTGGACTGAAATATCAGACTGTGTGTTTTCTGACAATTTGACAAAATGTTTAATTTTCTTTAAATACAAAGGTGACCTTGGACGACATGGGACAGGACCACAATATGAGCAGTGCTCCAGGAGATACAATGCCCTGAGAAACCTTACAAGACAAGTAATTATATAGTTTGTACCATAACAGTAAATTGTGTCAGAACTCTTATTTTGTTGTACTGCTAAATTATGTCTGGAATACACCCGTCTTTGTATCCTTTCTCAGAAGAACATTACACAGGACAATAAAACTCAAGGAATAATGGAAAAGAGCCAGTGGGACTTAAAACATATTTGTTTTACTTCTGGCCGGCTCACCAGGCTTGATGACTTTTGTTGTATTACAAATTTATAAAATGTTAAATCTAGGTTCCAATGTAATACTGAAAAAGTTATGTACCTTGTGTTTTACATTTTGTGTTTTACATTTTGAGGTAAAAAAAGGATGAGCTTTCTAAGGAGATCAAATCAGGAAGCCCAGGTGTCTGAGATAATGACCTTTTGTCTTTATGCTCTTCCTGACCATCTGGCTTTTTAAGCTCAAAGCACAGCTGTACCTTTGTCTCTGTGATAATGCGAAAGTATGGCGATACTGTCAGACTGATTGGATCAGCACCTATGAATTGAATTGAATGACACTGTTATACTGATGAGATCAAGGCTGGGAAAATGCCTGTGTCGGGCTGATTCCTGTACTTAATTTGCATGCTATGGGTTAGATTGTCTCCACCTCTACAGAATGTATCCCGCCCCCTTAAAATTTATATAAACTTCAATGTATCACTACGTTAGTCAGACTTTTGATGACTGCAGCGCCACGCAGCGCGTTCTCAATAAAGAACTCTGCTGAAGATACCCAAGAGTCTCCTGGTCTCTGCTTCGACGAGGAAAAAGTTTCCTACAGTTTCATCTTGCCACTATTTGCCACTAAGTGCCATTATTGGACAAAACAGGCTTAAACCAGCGTTCTTATAGGCTGTAAGTTTGTGCAAAACTGTTGCAGATTCAATTTTAAAATGTGAAAACAATTAAAGCATGTGTGCATCTTTTATACCTTTATGTCCTCCGTGACAGGACCAGTAGAGAGCGGTGTTCCCAGCTTTGTCCAGTCCGTTGATGCCAACCTTATTATCCAAACACTCTCTGAGCCAGCTCAGATTACCTGCATTCACACACAAAACATTTGATTGTTTCACCATGTTACCAAATAAACAAAATGCTAGATAGGTTTCTATTTGGGTACCTCGCTTGGCTGCTTCATGCATGGGGTTGTCTATGGACTCTGCTTGCTCAGCCACTGGAAAAAGGCAAATCACATCAAGATAAGAATGATACACCCACAGATGCATGTATATCAATGACTACAGGATACTTTAACCCAATTTATTGTCATCCAGGCAAATTTAGGTAAAGCTTTGAAAAGTAATAGCATATAATGCATAAAAAGAGAACTTATAATTTCAAATTTGAATTCAATTATGATATTACTTTCCACAGTGCAACAAACCACTACCACCTGGCAATGCATGTCTTTGGTGCCCTCACAACTGCAAGCACTTTAAAAGAACTGGATGACATGGTTCAAAGTGCTACAGTTGTCTTCTCCAGTCCATCATGTGGTGCAAGTGTTGAGAAGCACTTCAAGAACCTGCAATCGTGGCAGCAGAAAAAAGGGACTCCGTTGGATGAGACTACCGAGTCCAGAGGTGATGCAGAGGACTTGAAGGTAAATGTCAGATCTATCATCTGACCATTCTGATCTATCTATCCATCTATCTATCTATCTATCTGATACTGAAGTGCATTCCTTCCCAAGGTCAAAAAGGTCAAAGTGAGAACTTTTTTATTTATTTTTGGTTATTCTACTAAGGAGGACATACTGGTAACCACAAAGACCGTTGTCTTCTCTTGAAATGTGGCATAAGTCCTACAATTTACAGTTATTATCAGTTGGTTTGGAGAAGTTCTCAAATCATTCTTAATATTGCAAACCAGTAAGTGCATATCTCAAAACAATTTGTACAAACAGCATTACACAATGGAGTACTTGCAAAAGTCTGTACTTTGCTAAAAATCCATAGTTAATCTCTCAAAAGTAAGTATTTGTGTCAAGAAACAGATCATTGACATGATAATGACAAATCATTTTGTCATTGTTCACAAACAAGACAGTCAAAATGTTTAAGTCATGTTGTCAGTCTGTCAGTGCATGGTTTCAGTATGTCCAGATGTAAACTATGGTTTGGGTTACATTGAAAATGCACAAGGCTGAATTTCTTATGTATGGAATATATAAATGTCAACAGCACAAATTTACACATTACTGTATGTGGGATATTGATTTCAAGAGAATGGACAGGATTCACACTTTTACTGTACTGTACTTGTGGTCTGACCAAAAAATGACATTACAATGTCATTGTGATAGAAAATTAAAAGACACAAAGGCCAGTGGAGAAAAATATAAAATTACTGAGGTAAACAGAGAAAAAAAACCCCTTGTGCATGCAGCATCATACAGTGCAATATAAACTCCAATATTTGGCTGTACCCTCTGTCTTGCCTCGGCTACTGTGAGGCTATAATTTCATCTGAAATGTGTCTATGTCTCTGGCATCTTCTTCCTCTTCCTCTTCCTCTGTTTTGCCTCCCTACCCTTCCATCACGCATTATTATTATTATTCCTGGCTCTTGACCATGTTTGTTTACTGGTTGTTCATCCATTTTTTTAAATTTTAATTTTAATTGAGAACCAGTATAATATTTTTGGATCAGCATTACAAAAACAATTGATAATGTAGGAAACAGCAGACAGTTGTGCACAGTCAATTAAATGGTTGTACAAAAGTATTCACAATTTGTTCAAAGCAGTGAGAGATTGCTTTTATGATATGCACAAGATACTACATGATGTGGAGGTTGAACAAGTAGTTTTGAAAATTTCATTTCTGATCTGAGAAATGCTCCAAAGCAACTGAGAAAAACTGTAAAACACACCTCTAATAACACATTGTTGCATTATTTTTAGGACATTACAGGAAGCAACAGATTTGCAAAACGTTGCAATGCAATTATTTCAAATGCCCCGCTGGACAAGCATGGAGAGCTCAATGTGTACCAATGCAAAGGGCTTATCGATCACCTCAAGAAATACATTCTACCATTTGCTGGATTATGGACCGGGATAATGCTAGGTTTGTCATAACTATGCCAAATTTCCCTTTTTGGACTGAAATATCAGACTGTGTGTTTTCTGACAATTTGACAAAATGTTTAATTTTCTTTAAATACAAAGGTGACCTTGGACGACATGGGACAGGACCACAATATGAGCAGTGCTCCAGGAGATACAATGCCCTGAGAAACCTTACAAGACAAGTAATTATATAGTTTGTACCATAACAGTAAATTGTGTCTGAACTCTTATTTTGTTGTACTGCTAAATTATGTCAGGAATTCACCTGTCTTTGTATCCTTTGTCAGAACATTACACAGGACAATAAAACTCAAGGAATAATGGAAAAGAGCCAGTGGTACTTAAAACATATTCGTTTTACTTCTGGCTGGCTCACCAGGCTTGATGACTTTGTAGCCCAGTATCAGATTAGCCACACTGCACTCCTGAAGGAGTATAAAGACTCCGAAAGGGTTTTCCGAAGGAAGGTTCGAATATTTTAAGAAACGTGTCATTAAAGATGTGAGGGGTATTAGTTTTTTAAGGAAAAGACTATATTAGGAGAATTACATGTAGTTTCTCATTCCATTCTATGCTTTGATATGTAAACCAGATCTACAAATCCCTTACTTTATGTAGACTTACAGAAAAAGAGTAGAACAAGAAAGATGGAAAGAAAAGCAACAGAAAAAACGGGGAAGATATGTCACACCAAGCAAGCCTTTCCTTTTCAAGACATCAAACAAGAAGGTATAGTGTCAATGTAATGCTGTCATGCGTTCTACAGAAGTAAATTAAATTCATAATCTTCACATAACATAACAGTCCTAATTCTTATGCACCCATGGAAATTTCAGCCAGTCCAAAGATTTTTAGTACTCTAACATATGTAACACCAAAATCCCTTAAATATAAATTACATCTGCAAACAACTGGTCTCTTGAAAAACATGGGGAATGATGTATTGAAAAAAAAAAAAATAATTGGTTTAAAAGACAAACAGAAGCACTGTTTCATGAGGCTCCTTAAAAATCTGATCTATTTTTAAACTGTCGATAGTCTTCAGTGTCTGAGGGTCCCGTTGCTAAACAAAGCTCGCCACCACAGCCAAGGTCATCCCTGGAGGGGGACCATGAAGACATTGTGGATGAAAAGGCTGTACATGGGGAGATCTCAAACAAACCTAAGGCAACAGTAAAGACAACAGCAACCCAACAGCATCATGTAAGAATGCTTTCTATTATCAAATGTTCAGACTCATAGTAGTACCTTTTAAAGGTTCTAGTTTGTTTGAACAGTAGAAAGAATAAATACAGTAGTTAAAATAAAAAATCAAATTGAAACATTCAATTTCTGTTTAACTATCTGTCATGTTTGGTTGAAATTTGTAGCTCACCTCTTTGTGGAAAAGGAGAGACACTGAGTTTGTGGTTTCTGTGATCCCTACACAAACCAAAGGAACATCAATTGTCATTCGTCACAGTGAGCTGCGTACACTTCAGCCACACCAGTGGCTAACTGGCGAGGTACAGCATACATTTCTTTCTCGTTAAAATGTAGTTATATAAGCTTAAGTTACTTTTCAGAACTATAAACCTGTAGTTAAAAATTATAAACATACGTATGTACTATACAATAAAGGTCCATCTTTAATACATACCTGTACAGAATGTAGTAATGAGTAGATCTATATTAACACTCCAGCTACCACAATTAACTAATATGGAAACAACAAGTAAAATTCAATGTAGGACTGCTTATTAGGTAACCAAAAATTACAGAATGAGGTTAGACTCATTAAGAACTACAAATTAACAATGACAAATAATAAAGAACTACTAAATAATTACATACTTGTCACAACAATAATATGTCTGAGACGTGAGCAGTTGTCTTTTTAACTCTTTACATGGTCATAAAATGCATTGGTAAATGATCAGATGTTACCTAGTAACTTTTAAGGAACTGCTAATGATTTGGACCATTACTTTGAAGTGAAAAACAATGTTTACTGCTAGTAGTTCCATGCAGATTGACTACATAACTCCTGATTAAGTAGCAATGCTTTTTGTGGCCATATTGACAGTAAAAATATAATGCACTGTCTCAGAAATGTTGATGTTGTGATTCTTAAGTACTTGGCAATTTGTGTAATCTCATGTATCAATTATTGATTACCTAAGAAGGAACTACTTCAATCCTAAATGGAATGGAGCTTTCTGGTTAGTTAATCTTGTTTCCTTAGTAGTTCATAGTGTTAGTTGAAGTGTTAATGTGGAATGAGATAGAAAAGTTTGTAGACAAACTGTAACTTAGCTTGAGAAAGCAATAGCATGCAACTTTTAAGTATTTCTTAAAAGCTTGAAGTTTGAAGTCCTTTAAAAGTCTAAGTTGTTTTAAAGCTTGCCTTGATGGTTTGAGGCTTAAAGGCAATAGACAGACGGACGGACGGACAGATAGACAGACAGACTGATAGATAGACATAGATAGATAGATTTCTCAAGCCAACTTAATAATAAAAACCTTAAATAGAATAGCAGTAAGTTTGTTTTCTCAAGCCAATGTAATTACTGATTTGTCCTATAGTACTTCTTGTACAGTTAACTAAGATGGACCATTTGTGTTGCCATAAATATATGTAACCCTGGACCACAAAACCAGTCTTAAGTCGCTGGGGTATATTTATAGCAATACCAAAATACATTGTGTGGGTCACAATTATTGATTTTTCTTTTATGCCAAAAATCATTAGGATATTAAGTAAAGATCATGTTCCATGAAGATATTGTAAATTTCCTACCGTAAATATATCAAAACTTAATTTTTGATTTGTAATATGCATTGCTAAGGAATTAATTTGGACAACTTTAAAGGCGATTTTCTCAGTATTTAGATTTTTTGCACCCTCAGATTCCAGATTTTCAAATAGTTGTATCTCGGCCAAATATTGTCCTATCCTAACTAGCTTATTTATTCAGCTTTCAGATGATGTGTAAATCTCAATTTTCGAAAAATTGACCCTTATGACTGCTTTTGTGGTCCAGGGTTACATATGGTTATATACTCTGTGGTTCTTTATAGCCTATGTGTTTCTGTGTGTATACATTGCAATATTGAAATGGTTAAATTGAAACACAATGATTCATTTTGAGATAAAAGTACAAATTGCTGCAGTCTTGCTAATGTTACATGGAAACTAGCATTTTTTATATTGTAAATAATAATAAGAAAAATATATATTCTTGATAGAACAATAATGTGATCAAGGGTTTCTAAATGTTGTACTCTTAATGCATAACACAAATTTTTTCAAAATACGCAATTGTTTTCCATAGATAATTGAAGCCCTGTTTCATATTGCTGCCAATGAGCTAGAGATGGGGAATTCCATTTACATTCTTGATCACTACACAGCAGGTGTGATTCTGTTTGGGGAAAGACCTCAGCTTGCCCGGCAAAGTTTGTCAAAGGTAGTTACAGTGGATGGACTATAATATGGATATGCAATTTTGTATGTATGTTTCCATAGACCAATATTATATATCTTAAGTATATAAGAAAAAATCAGTTTGCAAAACTACATACAGAATTATGGTTAACTTCATAATACTTTTAAAAGGTAAACGTACTTAATAATGGTTTGCAAAGCTGATATAATGTATGTGTTCTTTGATAGATTAACTTTGACAATTACCAGGGAATTGTTTCTTTTGTGAACACTGACAATGTCCATTGGAAGTTTCTGGTGAGTAGGTGAATAACTTCTCTATGTCATTACCAAGTCTGGATCTACTCAGTATTAGTAGCAGTTGTGTCACCTTATCATTTTCAGTGCATAAATGCGGTCAACCACACTGTGTACCTGGCAGATCCTTCAAAAAGTTCTACAGAGGAAGATGACTCAATTCATGCTGCCAAAAAATTCAGGTATTCTTTGTGTAACTCATTCTCACATCCTTAAGCCACATTCTATGGCTACATGCATGCAGTTGCACAGAATTTTCTATATTTATTTACCTCCCCACTAACAAAGGGCCCACCTCATTCCATTTCAGCAGATTTTTGTTTTTAATGACTTTATCTACTGTGATTACACATTTAAAGGTTTTGCTTTGGGGTGCATAACTGTCACGGCATAGAATGTGTACAAGGTGTTGACATTGCTGGGACATTACTCATCATCTTGAGATACAACTTAGATACAACTTTATTTTCATTAAACATTACAAGTACTCAGCAACAAAATGAAATTTAGCATCTTGTGGTTCTTTATAGCCTATGGGTTTCAGTAAGTTTATGGTTAACTGGAAGAAGCTGGCCATGAGTTGGCATTCAGCTGAAGTATTGGCATTCAGCTCAACAATAACCGTTTGAACAGGTTATTGTTGTGAAGACAAGACTTGCTTATGATCTTGGGAGTTCTGACATCTATAACAAACATCGACTGTAGTGAAGATGTTCAGTTGCTGGGGATACTAAAGATACATTTTAATAGATGTGCATTCACCACAGGGGTACACCATATTGGGAACCCAATAGGCATGCATACACTGGAGTATTTAAAAGATGTCAGTATGTCATATTGCTATTTTTCCCATATCACAAGTAATTACTGACCAGGAGGCCTAAAGGTTAAATTAATCAAATCACAATTGATGGAAATTGTTTAGGAACTTCCAGAAAGTAAATGGCCAATGAACAGAAAATGATGGCTCTGCAGATACTCAAAGCATCAGGTTTGTAAAGCAAGTTCTTGTCTGCAGTGTGCTGGAATATTTAATAAAATGCAGCTTTTCAGATCTGACTCAAGTCAAAATTAAAATACATAAAGCAGAAGTCAAGTATAAAGTAAAACAGTATTAGAAAAAATATTTGGTAACAATTTATAATAAGTATACACTAACAAATCACTTACAAATCATTTGCAAAGTATTAGATAGTAGTTAATATTTTATAAACTTTTAAGTTAATTGAGTTAATAGTCATATATACAGTATATATATATATATATTATATATTAATAAAGTTAATAGACTATTTATAAATAGTGACTTTTTCATTAACTACAATTAACAAAATTAACTATAAATATAGCTGTAAGCAACAGTTACGGGGCCAAGCACTCCAAAAGCAAAATGAGGAGCTAAGCATGGCATGGAGCATCAGACCAAATGCAACAACAAGTAATAAAAGCAATTTTAGGATTATTAGGGGCCAAGCACCAAAGGTGCGTAGGCACCTATTGTATCCGTTGACATTATTATTAGGGGCCAAGCACCGAAGGTGCGTAGGCACCTGTTGTATCCGTTGGCGTTATTATTAGGGGCCAATCACCGAAGTTGCATAGGCACCTATTGTATCTGTTGGCGTTATTATTCTTCTTCGTCCGTTTCTTCCGCTCTTGAGTCTATGGCAGCCCATAGAGTGTAATAGGAGTTATACATTTGGAATAGACTAGTAATTTGATTTCAGATTTTATGTACTTTGTTCCTAATTAATAAATATTCAAATTATACATCACACCCCGTGAGTACCTGCAAATGAGGAGTACATACCATGGAAAAATGGAGTGGGTGGATATACAATGGAAAGGAGGAGTTATGACACATCCAGTCCAACAGGATGGCAGTAGCTGTGGGGTAATTGTCGTCTTGGTATGTGAAGTGTACTGTAATACCTCTCTCTGTTATCTTCTTTATATTAAGTAATTAGCAGTACAACAAGTAATTAAGTAATTAAGTAAATCATTGATTTTTTAGATGGCAAGGGGAATAATGAAGGCATTTCTAGCTGTTCCCATTTTATATTTTGGAACTTCCAGAAAGGAAATGGCCAATGAACGGAAAATTATGGCTCTGCAGATGCTCAAAGCATCAGGTTTGTAAAGCAAGTTCTTGTCTGCTGTGTGCTGGAATATTTAATAAAATGCAGCTTTTCAGATCTGACTCAAGTCAAAATTCTTTCACCAAAATTGGCTCAGATCATCTTCAGACCATGCTGGCAAAAATTTATGGAATTCAAGTTGATTTCGAATTCTACGAAAAGCATGCAAAAATGGATGTGAGGCTATATCTCCGTAACAGTTTGGCGTATTGAGACCAAACTTGGTGTGTGTTATAACAAGCATGACCTGAGACTACCTGCAGTGTTTTGGCGCTGTGCCACCTAGTGGTCAGGAGATATGAAAAATTCATATTTTTGCTTATAACTTCTGAATGGTTTGGCCAAAAATCACAAAACCAGTCTCTTTAGATTCGGTGCATCATGCCTAGTCGAATGATACCCAATTTTCCCATGTCAGCCATTTTAGGCGTCGGACATTTTTAATTTTGTCTTAAAATGCTATATTTTACGAACGCATTGACGTATCATTACGAAACTTGGTATGCTTCTTCAGCACCATGCCCTGTTGGTACTCAAAAAGTTAGCAAAAAGATATAATGAAATTTCGAACAAGGCTAATAACTTTTGCTTACATTAGCTTATTGAAATGAGACTGATGTTGATAGATTCCTTGGATCATGCTGAGAACATCGATACCAATTATACCATAATTGGCCGAACTTCCTGTCCGCCATTTTGATTTATGTTGAAAACCTACTATCATGCTGAGAACATCGATACCAATTATACTATAATTGGCCGAACTTCCTGTCCGCCATTTTGATTTATGTTTTTTGTTTTTTCATTTTGATTTATTTTGAAAACCTACTTTTTCGAACTTGTGCTTGGCCCCTAATTAATGAAATGTTACTGCTTAATTACCTCATATGTATTGAATTAGTTAATGGTTAGTTAATAACTTATTAATGGTAAGTAGTTCTCCATGTAGATTAGGTCAAGTCAAATCCGAAAATGTCATGAACTAAGTGCCTAAAACCAGCCTTTATTGGACCTTCATTTCACTGTTCATTATAAGGTTTACAACATTGAATTGTACATTTTGCAAAACACTTAATTAATGACATTTTCCAATACTCCTTGATCTAATCTAAATTAAAAACCATGTATGGTTAATAAGTTGTTAAAGCATTATGTAACTATTTATAAATGAGGTAATTAAACAATAAGAAATTGTGGTAACAATTTACAATAAGGTTACATTTGTTAATGTTAGTTAATGTATTAATGTATTAACTACAGTGATGAAACAATGAACAAAACAGTTATTACAGTAATTATTAATCTTTGTTAATGTTATTGTCATTGTCAGTCCATGTAAATTTACAGTGCATTAACTAATGTTAACAAGCACAAATTTGTATTGTAATTATGTATTAGTAAATGTTGAAATGAACATAGGTTAACTAATTTTCTTTGTTAATGTTATTGTCATTGTCAGTCCATGTAAATTTACAGTGCATTAACTAATGTTAACAAGCACAAATTTGTATTGTAATTATGTATTAGTAAATGTTGAAATGAACATAGGTTAACTCATTTAGTTAACATTAACTAAGAATGGACAATACTTCTACATCATTTATCAATCGTAGTTAGTGTTAAGTAATGGAACCTTATTATAAAGTGTTACTAACAGTGTTGATTACAGTGACAATGACTTATGAAATCAGTGTTTGTATGAAGTCAATTAATGTATTAACTGCAGTTTGTTAACTATTGGTTTACAATAATCAAGTAGTTTGTAAATGAAAACTCCACCAGGGGTGAGCAGTGTTTGCAGACCACAACAGCATCGCGGCACCACATTGTTTACATTGATGTAAACACAAAGCCCGCCGCCGCGGGTCTTACCTCCCTCGACGCGAGCTCTGTCCGCTCAATAGCATGTCAGCTGATCGAGATGAAATCTCACAAGACAAAAAACACGAAAACACCTTTCTGTCGGAAGAGAGAGAAGCCGCAGCGTGTGAACGCGCCGCCATCTTGTTTCCATCAGACATTGTCATCCTTATAAGACAATTAAGAATTGTCTTATAAGGGTCAACAGTCAAATGAAGATTTTACACTATTACTTTAAAGCTGCCACAAAATGCATGGATGTCACATTATTATCGCATGCTAATAAGTTCAAGGGGGAAAAAACAGTAGTTTATCAATACAGTATATTATAGTCTTGCATTACCTACATACATCTGATAGGTTTCTCTACAATCAAGGGTAATCCATGGTAACAAAACTTACTAAGTTAACAACTTAAGTTAACAACTATGGAAAATAACAAATACAGATGCCAGATGAGTATGCGGAGGCCTGAATAAATGAAAGTATTTTATCTGCAATGTCATATAAACAGCAACCCCACAGATATATAGTGACCTTAAGGTGTTCACCAAAATGAAGGGGATGTAAACGCACTGTTTATCTACATGCCACCTCCAATGTACATAAAACAAGTAACACACCTTGTTATTGTCACTGGAGGTAATAGACTGTTTTAAAGTCTGATTTAAAGGCTGGATGGACAGTAAAATATTTGTTTGTGTTACTAGTTCATTTTTGTTTATATGAATATTGCAGTGTTTGATGAAACCAAAAACTGTGTCATGTGTTCACTTAAAAAGACTACTGGATCTGTGCATCGTTTGATAAATTGGGTGAGTTTGTTAACCACTTGATAAAAGAGAATGGGAAAGTGAAAAGCAATAGCAATATTAAACTTTGGCAGTTCCCTGATATTTCCAACTTATACATTTCTAGATCCAATGTGACACATGTGAAAGGTGGTACCATGAAGAGTGCCTGGGTATGGCCGAAGAAGGCCTGGAACAGGCCAGAGCTAACAACTGGAACTGCATATTGTGCTCTTAAATCCTTTCATTAAAACAAATTTTTTCTTTTTTTTTTTTTTTGGTTGAAGTATGTAATTGTTCTTTTAAATTATTGTTGATAGTTGTAAATTGTAAATTATAAATCATTTGATTAAATTGAGAATAAACTTTTGTGAAAAATGTGAAAGAAAAGTCTAAATGATGATAATATTAAAAATTTTTATATGTGAAATTCAACATCGGAACATCTTGTCATTGTGTAGTTGATACCGTGTCAAGGTGTCCTCTCAATCTGCGGTGAAAGTGGTCTGTGCAACGTAAGAGTTTTGTTTTTATAGCTTTTTGGATGTAGAGACAAAACAGCACATATATGAAAGTTGTGGGGGCTGTTATTTTGTAATTCCAGATCAGACAGTCCTGAAACGACGCAGCTGACACTGTGGCAAGGTGTACTCTCAAATCTGAGGTGGAACTGGTCTGTGCAATCTAGAACTTTTATTTTTATAGCTGTTTGAAAGTAGATTCAGCAGCGTATTTATTAGACTTGGGAGGCTCTTATTTTGTAATTCCACATCAGACAGTCCTGAAACGACGCTGCTGATTCAATCTAGAACTTTTATTTTTATTTCTTTTTGAACGTACACACACAACAACACATATTTGAAAGTTGTGGGGGCTCTTATTTTGTAATTCCCCATCAAACAGTCCTGAAACGACGCAGCTGACACTGTGGTAAGGTGTACTCTCAATCTGAGTGGGAACTGGTCTGTGCAATCTAGAACTTTTATTTTTATAGCTTTTTGAATGTAGAGATGCAGCAGCATATTTATGAGTTTGTGGGGGCTCTTATTTTGTAATTCCAAATCAGACAGTCCTGAAAATTAAAGATGTATCACTGGAGGTAGTATTAAGGCTGATCAATATGATATGGAATGCAGGTAGAATCCCGCTTGAATGGAAACAGGCAGTGATAGTCCCTATACTCAAACCTGGTAAGAATGCTTTACAGTTGAACAATGGACTTATAAATGGGGATTTAAACTCTCAATCCCAAAAACTCAAATTATATGCTTCTCTAAGCGCCACAAAGTAGTGCCACTGAAACTGTATGGACAAGATTTGGAACAGGTTAAGGTGGAGAAAATAATCAGAACCAAGGTGTCGTTATAGCCTCAGACAGTTTATCAGCATTATTAAGCATTCAATCTGGGAGAGCGTCATGTAGACAAGACCTCATTTACCAAATACTCCACTTGCTTCTCACACTTCATAATAAGGGAATGGCTGTCTCCTTCCTTTGGGTTCCTGCCCATGTAGGGGTGGAAGGAAATGAAGTTGTGGATATGCTAGCAAAAAACTCTACAAAGCATGAAACAGTAGATGTACACGTACCAATAAGTAGAGCAGAGGTCAAAACTCATCATAAAGCAACATTCACTTCAAATACCCACTGTGGCAATATCAATGATGCCACCCTGGAAATTTATAAAACCATCTGTAAATATAAGCTTACAACAAATACTAAAAGAAAACTCAAAAATAATGCCACATTGGATAATAGTTCAAAATTATGTCCAGTCTAATAGGTGGCGGTAATGCACCTTTGAGATGAGTTGCCAACCGCCATTAAACCTGAAAGAAGAAGAAGAAGAAGTGGCAAGGTGTACTCTCAATCTGAGATGGAACTAGTCTGTGCAATCTAGAACTTTTATTTTTATTGCTTTTTGAATGTAGAGATACAGCAGCGTATTTATGAGATTTGGGAGGCTCTTGTTTTGTAATTCCAAATCAGACAGTCCTGAAAAGGTGCAGCTGATACTGTGGGAAGGCGTACTCTCAATCTGAGGGGGAACTGGTCTGTGCAATCTAGAACTTTTATTTTTATTTCTTTTTGAACGTACACACACAACAACACATATTTGAAAGTTGTGGGGGCTCTTATTTTGTAATTCCACATCAAACAGTCCTGAAACGACGCAGCTGACACTGTGAGACAGTGTCCTCTCAATCTGAGGTGGAACTGGTCTGTGCAATTTAGAACTTTTATTTTTATAGCTTTTTGAATGTAGAGATGCAGCAAGCGTATATTCTTGCTCTTATTTTGTAATATGAGTATGGGAGGGCTTTTATTTTGGTGCTCAACATCAGACAGTTACGGACTGTGTGTTGGGAAAAAATCGAGTTCGCTGGAAGAGGAGCACTGCATTCGGATCAGTTCTCTGACGGTTTTACCGTAATAGGCAGTTTATGCGCGACCCTAGAAATAACGTGGCGGCTAGATTGACCGTTCTTTATGACTTGGCGGCTGGCTTGACCGCAGTCTTTGACTGTACAGTCCAATACCAACCCTGATATCTGAACCGGGAAAAGCCGCCGCTGCAGCAGGTAAAGACCTGATCAGACAGTGAAGGAGCTCAGAGGATGGGATCCTTGCCTACGCCTGCGCCTTTTCTGCCATGCAGCGGAGAGCCTGCGATTCCTTTTGTTACTTGGCGGAAAATGTTCGAGAACTATTTGCTGGTCATTAATGCTACGGGTGGCTCCTGGCCTGATGCAAGAACGCGTGCTGTATTGTTAAACAGCTTGGGTACCGAAGGCCAGCGGCTGTTTTACACCCTGCCTGATACGGGAACTACATTTGAACATGCAATGAAAGCGCTAGAGGATCATTTCACGCCGAAAGTTAATGTTGTGGTCGCTCGACATCGTTTTTAGTGCACATTACTAGTCTTGTGGTGAACAACTGAACCATGCAAGTCAATACACTGGAAAAAAAATTGTCTGCTGTCGTAATCTTTAATCAAAAACTGAAAATTGGCTTCTACTCTGGAATGGCGTTCTCGCTGTGATGACATCAGTTTGACGGCTTGGGGAGAATCCTCTTGTCAAGTCATGATGTAAGGACTGCTGTTTCCGGGTCCAAGCCTCTACTCATTTCACTTGAGAATATTACAGTATCTCAACAGCCATCTAGAATATTAGAGCACTATTTAATTAATATTACATATTTAAGCTGATCATTTAAAAATGTGCTGTGCTCACAGTGTCTCAGACACTAATATTTTAGCTGAATCACTGTCTGGCCATCTGGGATTTCAGTATGGAGATAAAGGTTAGGGCTATAATTTTTCAGTATTACATGACATTGTGAGTGTGTATATGCACAGTTTGTTGTTTTTTGGGGTGTCTGGCAGAGCGTTAGGTCCCAGAAGCAGTGAAGGGTGATGTCAGATGTAACAAGCAGATATTCTTAACCACTCCTATCCAACCGTGAATCTGCTATGAACAAGAGGTGGAGTGGAGGTGCACCACAATAAAACCCCACCCTTTATTCTGTTTCACTTGGAAATACATCACAACACTGAAGTCAGTTGCAACCTCCGGTTCACGGGTACTTTAATATTTATATTTTTCAAGGTATTGAAGTTAGAAATTCCTGTATCATGACCACTAGGTCACGTACTTTGAACAAAACCCACTTTTATCTTATTGACAAAGTAGCTATTATCCACATAGATCTTTGATATGAATTAATATTTTTTGGTAATTCATTAAATATCGCAGACTAAAAAGTAACTAGTAACTAGTACTCTGAGTAGTTTTTGAGAGGAGTACTTTGTACTTTTACTCAAGTACTGTTTTGACACCAGTACTTTTACTTGTAATTAGGGCTGGGTATCGTTCAAAAATTTTCGATATCGATACTGTGGCAGCCAGAAAGAGGTATGGTCCCCCACAAAGCAGACGGAACACCTTCAGCACCATGGAGAGCCCCATCAGAGGAAGCAACAAGGGCTGGGCCACCCAGTAAGAGGGTTCAGGACCAGGGATAGCTCCAACACAGGTGTTCACTTTTTATCCTCTAACAGGGAGCCTCAGCTGCAGGCTGTTAGGAACAATCAGCCACCACCACATAAAAGGGAACCGAGAGGCCTCAGTAGGCTCTCAGCCGGGGAGATGAGCAGATGCTGAATGCTGGATCGCCCTAACCCCAAGCACAGGACAAGTTCTTAAGGGCGGAAGCTCAGTGGGTCCACATTAGACGGCAATCGGAAGTTATTACAAACACTCGATGGTGGTTTAAAGTGAGTTTTGAGTAAAAGCGGAATATAAATCTTATTTATTGTCTTATGTAGCATGATGCTACAGTTTGCATGAATGGCCACATAACACGCACTTTCGGTCATGTAGTATGAACGGACATCTGCATATGATCGGAACTCCACGCAGATCCCGCGCTACTTTCCATTGGAAATGAATGACTGAATGACCGGTCTGTCGCTTGTCGTTTGTCGGAGATAGTGGAAAGCCGGCCTGAAACGCAGTGGAAACTCCAGTATGATGAGAATCATTTTAATTTTAGAACATAAACGCAACAGTGTTAATGTAGCCTTACATCTAACAGCCTCACGTGTGCGCCACATCTCTGAGTGTAACCAGTGTTAACTAGTAGGTGTGTTCGACTTGACGCGGACCGACTGCAGACCAATCGGTGTATTACAATACCACAAGAGCTAAAGAGAGCAGACTGCTCCGTGCGCCTTCGAATCGCTCTCGCGGGTGATCGATCTGCGCCGCACCTCTTCTAGTCGAACACACCGGCTAGTGCTGCAGGCTTATTGGCTCACTGACGCTGATGAGAGAGATTAACCCCTTAGGTATCGAAATTTGGTACCGAAATTTCGGTCGGTGCCTAAAAAGTATCGAACTCGATACCCAGCCCTACTTGTAATTGAGTATGTAACAGTATGTACTTAAGTGCAAATTTTCAGTACTCTTTCCACCACTGTCAGTGACTCCAGAGCCAGCGAGAACATTTAGAGAAAGACCAAAAGACATGAAAAAACACACACAAGGATTGAACAGTGTGGAGACGAGTAAATAATGACCAAATTTATGTTTAGATGAACTAACCCTTTAAAGCCCCAAATAGAAACTGAAATATATGTAAGCATTTATATTAGTAGTAGTAAAGTAGTACCTTGAAGAAATAAACTTTGAGAAATAAGCAACTTTGAGCGTTTGTACCCAAGATACAAAAAAGCATTTACAAAAATCACATTTACATTT